AAGAATGGAATTCTGGATTTCGATATATTCATTATCTCATCTCTTGATTTCTAATCTTTATTGAAGAGTTAATTCATTGATTATGAATAAGTGGCAGTATAATCCCATGCAAAGAGACAAACTCGAGAAATGAGAAACTGGTTACTTAATCCAGAAGCTTTGAATGTGTATATAAAAAATTTTCCTAGTATCTTCTTATTTTAGATCTCTAGCTAAAATCACATTAAGTGGTCTACTTTATTGAATTTTCAATCAACGATATTACTTCATCGTAATTTAAGGACTTCTAAATCCGGGCTTATATATCTGAAAGCTAGTGTATGTATTCTACTTTCACAATTAGGATGAAGAATTCATAATCTAATTTTGTTGGATTCTTTTATGTGGCAATTTCCTTTCTTAAACAAGAGTATTAAGAGATGATGACTTCTCATAAGCCTTAATCTTGCAAACATAAATGATCAACTTTTTTTCTACCTTTTACTAGAATTTTTCTGCAGCTTATTAAAGCAATGTATTTGTAAATCTATTTATAGATGGACAACAATTTAGAATGATAATCCTTTAAATTATAATTGATGTTGAACTTAAAGATTATTTAAAAAATAGCAGTAATTCACTATAGCAAATAGAATTGTTAGGTATATTTATGACAATTTCCTTTTTTGAAAAATAAGGAATATAATATCTTTCTAAAATTTCGATAACATCAGATACTCTTTATATTTTTATACTTTAGATATAGAATAATTTATCAATGCAGACATCTTTGGAGATTTCTAGGGAAAGGCGTCAATGAATATTTCGTGCATTCAAAAGGAACCCATTTATATCAGACAGAATATTACTTAATCCTATGATAGTCTAGCCTTTCCTTTATGGTTGTTGAGAAATTCATTCCTTAAACTAACCATTTCCATCGTATATGCTAATTATTTGAAATATTTTATGCCTCTTCTTAGTCTTATTGATATAATTTTGTGTAATCCTTCATTTTTATTGATTGAATATCAGATTGTATAAATATCAAGTCCACTATTGAGAGGTAGCCCCTAGTTTCATTATCAATGTTGTTCTCCTGTTCTTCAGCTATTAGTATGAAACCCAACCCCTTGACTACATCTCGTTTCATTCAATTGATTAGTTCTATTTTATTAACACAGTATTCATTTTCAGTAGTCATCTGTGCCATCTATTCTAACACTCTTCTAAAAGAATTTCTCATTATTATTTGCCATTTTGTATTTTATCCAAATCGTCAGATTATAATAACATATAAAATCCATATCTTTATAATTATCTTAAAAGATGTAGTTTTCTAAAATTTGAAATAAACCAGATATTTTTATTACCATTCTCTTGGAATGATTGCATTTGATGTATTAAATTTCCTTTAAATTTCATTGATTTCTAATTATCTAGTTATTCATAGTTTTTATTTGATATATATTTGTTTAAGTTGTTTTTTTTTCTGCCAGTTATATATGCTGGTTTACAATGGAATGACATCTTAATTTGCTAGATGAGCTGCAACTTCTGAATTTTTCAAGAGATAATATTCTTATTGGCAACTTTTGATGCATCCTCTTCACACCCATCCTTGACCATAGCAATAAAGTTGCTGAAGTAAATGTTGAAGAAAAACAGACTCAATGAAAAGTCTTAAAGTAGTCCGTCCATTTTAACCAATCCTTTTACTTGGTTATAGATTTATAAATATATCGATAATCATAGAGGGTGAAGGGTTTTCAAAGCAATTAGGGCAAGATTCACTGAATCATAGCATTTTATAAAGATTTCTCTATCAATGTATCATTTTTTATTACCCTGTTTTTTTATGGAAAGAAACTATCTGTTTCGAATCTACTTAATTCTAGTTCCCATTTCTTTGTTTTACTGTTCCAATGACAAATTCTCCCCTCACTCTTTTGCTATCCAGAAGCTAATATTATATTTCATCTCTCCTCCCCAGAGTCATCCTCACTAAATGGGTTTGTGTAGGATAATAAGTTTTCACTCGTATTAAAAGTCAGTTTTTACATTCTGATGATTCCAGAAAGCTATTGATAAAGCATTCAACATCTTACCGCAGATAGCTTGACCCAGTAGGGATAGAGAGTGGAGATCTGATCTCCTCATTAAACTTAGCTATCTTTCTCCTTTTAGTTTCTCATCCTCCATAATGTAATTACACACATCCAAGCATTCTATCATTTAATTAGAATTAGAATTGGAATACGGTCTTGGTAGAGGCTGCCTCTTTTATGACGTTATTAGAAATAAGAATAACAATAGGTTTTTATCAAACCAATAACTATGGAGAAATCAAGCCTTTCTCTTTCATAGATTTTTCTTACGCAAATTAAATTCATTTGATATTAGTCTTTCAAGCTTTATGTCTACTTCAAAGAGTCATAACCTCGATGTATTCCTTTATGCTAACTCTGCACAGGATAGAATTGTTTATTCTACTGTTTGAAATTGTTAATCTCTTGTTTCTTTCATCTACCCCAAATTCCAATAGACTGAGGTTTATTGATTCTTAATTACAACAAGTAGAGAGACTTATATTCCTTGGCTGCATTGGATGAATAAAGAATAATAATAATATTAAGATATATTTGATGTGAAATATAGAAAATATTATGAAATTAATCTTCTTTTGAGTAATATAGACAAGTAAAGATTCAATCATTCATATTCATAATAATGTAGAAGGCTAAAAATGTCATCTTTGCAAGTATTGCAGATATTAAAAATAATGAAATCAAGTCCTTTAATTAAACTCAAAAAAAAAGAGATGACATATTAAGAAGAATTAATTTGAAAAATAAAAAAATCCAACTACAAGTATTTGATAGCTCAATGCAAGGAATATGAGAATTAAAATAAACAAAAATCATTTTTGAAAAATATTTTTTTATTTCATTTACCCCTTATCCAATAATTTGAACAAAAGTATTGTTTGGACCTGATGATTAAACTAGAAAGTGTTGAACACTTTAAACGAAGTAAACAGTCTAAATTTTGAAAAAATAAACTTTTGTAATACATTTATATTAAAAAGAAAATTTCATCATATGAACATGCATCGGATGCAAAATCTATTTAACTCTAAAGAAAACAGAAATTTTTCTATGGATTTACAAATTATTATCAGGAAATTATTTTAATATGACGTGAAATATCAATCAGATCATTTTTCCTAATGAAACTCTTTAACCAATTATCATTATATAACACACCAATCAGCAAAGAGCAAAACCATTCAATTTATTTCTGATTACAGTTTATTGCACAATATTTAAAGATTATATAAGGAAAAAAATAAATAAAAGCCAAAATTTTGTGCTGAGTGCTTTTTATCCTTATAATTGTCTCCTTTTAACTATTTTAAGGGGAAAAATTATTAAATTATAATCAAGGTGATACCTCTATAATACCTCTTGTTATTTACTTTCTATGGATGCAATTTGCTGTTAAAAGCATTTTTTAGCATTCAACTCTAAACTCTAGAATTTGATAAATATTAAAATAAGTTACAATTATATTCTTATATCTTTCTAAACAAAATTTTGTGAAAAATGAATAAAGCTATTGTTATTTGGTTCTAACACTCTGAATCAGCTGTATTTCATAATTTGTATCTTTCTAGATATCCTACAAGTAATAAATGTGTACATGGATCTGTCCGATGGAGAATGATCGGCTATCACCTAACTTTGTCTTGCTTTTAAATATGATAGCCAAAATATTGTTGTTTCCAATTCCTTTTGGAGGTACTTAAAAGTATAACGAATGTACTGACTGTAATCATTAGAGTTAGTTTATCTTTTGATCAATCATGATCATCGAAATAGTAAACCATCTATTTCGATCTCATCTTCTTCTTGTTGAATTTTATGACAATATCGATAAAAAAATGTTAAATATCTCTTTGATTACTTCTAACATTAGCAACTTAAAAATTATATCAATGCCTACCTGATTAATTTGTTACTAATTCTAGTTTACAAATATTTTAATTGCATATAATAACAGTTATTTAAAAATAAAGCTATTAATATTAGACCTTATTAGTACTTCTTATAAACTTAATTAATATGACTTGTAATTCCATCATAACAGTTAATACACTATAGCGCTAAATATATGTTGTTATTAACAGCTGAAACAAATCAGGTCAGTTACCGCGAGTCTCAGTATACATTCATGTGCCACAAGGTTATGAAGATATTAAGGAAGTAGAACATCAAAATTCAATATAATAAAGAGTCAAGAGAATAGCGCAGCAGTTACTTTGCAATGTTTGAAGTATGCATCATAAGATTTTAGAGGATATTTTTCTAAAAAAGGATGTTCATCTCAACAAAATGCAAGATGAGTGGCAGTTGTAAATGATACCTGATATTTCTACATCATCTTTACAGCTTAACAAAGTTTTCCACATCTCATAACTCGAACCTTTGGTCGTGCATTAGGTGTAATAATATAATTGAAAATCATGGCACATCATAAGGATTCGAAATTTCAAAGGATTAGTCATAAGTGTGTGTGAGAAGTGCAGTGGAAATATTCATCACTCTCTCTAAAATGTTTTATTCACAAAGTGAAGTAACTTTATTTCGAAACTGTCGTGATAAGAAGGTTGGCTTGCCTTAATTAGAAGATTAGACTATTTGCATCACACCCGTTATATGTTTTGAATTAATTACGCATAAAAATCAGGTAAACAAAAGTTGATCTAATAACGTATCAGCTAAATCTCATAAGCTAGTTAATTCAAGAAAGATGAAGTAAATTAATTGCATCACCATACAGGAGAGAATTAATTTTGGCACAAATTTCAAGTAGCTGTGAGTTGTCACTCTTCTAATTTAATCAGCTCAAAATCATTGCAAACTTTATTTTCCCTAAAATCTATTAAAGAAACCTTTTGTTTTTAGTATAAAACTCAAAATAAAGTAATGGAAATTCATTATTATTTCTAATAAAAGCAAATGAATTGTAACAAATTGTAGAATGAAGATTTGTATCAGATTCTGGTAATATCTAAAGATGTTGATCAAGTAGTCTTTCCTATTCTAATTAAAATATTCAAAAGAGAGAAAATCTAAAATTCTTTAGAATTTCTCTAATAAGATCAAAATCAAAAGCTCAATGTTGGAAAAAATAACATAGAGAGAATAAAAGACGTTCTCAACAAGGTTAAGGACCATGATTTTAATGAATAGAATTATTCATTAGATGAATATAAAGAAATTAAATAAGTTCTGATCTCAAAAATATCTAATGATAAAAAGATAATAGAATTCTTAAAATTATTAGCTCAACTGACTGCCTTTGATGAGAGATACATATAGTGTGGATCTAATTCACTTCATTTATTAGTTTAAATGAAGGTTGATTTAAAGGAATAATGTTTTGAAAATATTAGAATTAGAAATACTTCCTTAATAGGGGCTAATTTTGCGAGATGTGATATGAGTGAATCTGAATTTGAGAATGTCATTATTAGTGGAATAAATTTGAATGGAGCCAAATTATTTAATTGTAAGTGGAGAATATTAAGAATAGATGAGCTAGGTATATTAATTGGTCATAGTGGTGCTGTCAACTAAATTACCTTTTTTCCCCATGGAGGTGTAAATCTATTAGTATCTTGCAGCAACGATTATTCATTATGTTTGTGGAATGTTAAAACCGGAAAAATACAGTCTGTAATATTAATGGACGAAGAAGTAGAATCAGCGTGCTTCTCCCCGAATGGCATAACATTAGCATTTTGCAAGTGCGAATATATTTATTTATGGAATCTTAAAACAGGAAAATAAATATCAAAATTAATTGGTCATTTAGATAAAATAAGAAATGTTTGTTTCTCTCCTAAAGGTACTACACTAGCATCTGGTAGTGATGATAACTCTATCCGTTTATGGGATGTTAAGACAGGATAATAAAAAGTCAAATTAGATGGTCATTCGAGTTGTGTTAAATCGGTCTGTTTCTCTCCCGATGGCAGTACATTAGCCTCCTGTAGTTATGATAGGTCCATCCGTTTATGGGATGTAAAGACAGGATATTAATAAGTCAAATTATATGGTCATAATGAGAGAATATAGTCAGTCTGTTTCTCTCCTGATAGTTCTCTATTAGCATCTGGTAGCAATGATAAGTCTATCTGTTTATGGGATGTTTAGACAGGATAATAAAAGGTAAAATTAAATGGTCATAGTGAGAGAATATGGTCAGTCTGTTTCTCTTCTGATGGTACTACATTAGCATCAGGTAGTTAAGATAAGTCTATCCGTCTATGGGATGTTAATACAGGATAATAAAAAGCCAAATTAGATGTTCATAAAAATTGGGTCATGTCAGTCTGCTTCTCTCCTGATGGTTTAACATTAGCATCTGGTAGCAGTGATAAGTCTATCCGTTTATGGGATGTCATGACAGTATTATAAAAAGCCATATTTGATGGTCATTCAAGTTGTGTTAAATCAGTCTGTTTCTCTCCTGATGGTAGTACATTAGCATCTAGTGGTTATGATAAATCTATCTATTTATGGGATGTTACGAGAGGATAATATAAAGTCAAAATAATTGGTCATAGTGAGCAAATTTGCTTAGTCTGTTTCTCTCCTGATGGTACTATATTAACATCTTACAGTAATGATAAATCTATCTATTTATGGGATGTGATGACAGGTTAACAAAAAGCCAAATTAGATGGTCATTCGAGTATTGTTAAATCAGTCTGTTTCTCGCCTGATGGTTTTACCCTAGTATCTGGTAGCAATGATAGGTCTATCCGTTTATTTGATATTAAGACAGGATAATATAAAGCCAAATTTGATGGTCATTCGAGTTGTGTTAAATCAGTCTGTTTCTCTCCTGATGGTAGTACATTAGCATCTGGTGGCTATGATAAATCTATCCGTTTATGGGATATTAAGAAAGGATAGCAAAAAGCATAATTATATGCTCATTCACACTATGTCATGTCAGTCTGTTTCTCTCCTGATGGTACTATATTAGCATCCTGTAGCGACGATAAGTCTATCCGTATATGGGATGCTAAGACAGGATAACAAAAAGCCAAATTAGATGGTCATTCATCAGTAGTTTATTCAATTTGTTACTCTCCTGATGGTACTACACTGGCATCTGGTGGTGGAGATTTTTCTATCCGTTTATGGGATGTTAAAACAGGATAATAAAAAGCCAAATTAGATGGTCATTCTAACACAGTTTATTCAGTCAATTACTCTCCTGATGGTACTACATTAGCATCTGGAAGTAATGATAAATCTATCCGTTTATGGGCTGTTAAGATCGAATAATAGATCTTATCTTTAGATAATCTTCCTAAAGATACTCTAGCATAGTTTTCACCTTTAATTTTAAACAATAACCTTTTCCAAGTAAATGGTATTTATTTTTCTTTATTATTTAGCTCCTTCTAATATTACTATTCTTAGAATTTCAAAACATCCAATTTTACAAGCTTAAGATGCTTTAATCCTGAAAGGAAATTTTGTAAACTATTAGGGTGTAAATTTACGATCATTGTTCAAGTCTTTAGGAAGTTGCATTTTATGAAGTTTTATTGGATGATAATAAAATTGAGTTTTATAAGCATTATTTAATTCAATTGTACTATTTTTGTGTTAAATAAATTTGGGTATGAGGGTGTAACATTTAAGATATTTTCATACAAAAATGGAAAAACTATCCATAGAGACTTTGAATTTTAGTCGTGTCTATTCGTTTTTTAGTTAATTTGAGCAATACTCTACTCTTTTTATAGAGTTTAAAATTAATAATCATATTTCTAAATGTTGTTAAACTTAAATATCTTTCTGCATGCAATAAAAAGTTGATAGTTCATGTTGGACACTCAATAGAAAATAAATTTAATTCAATTATGCAGTTCGTAAAAGAATCTATTATCATAATTAAAAAATCAAAACGTTTTATGTTAACCATTAAAAAATTTATAATTACTTTTATTCTAACTGATGAAAGGTTAACAATAGATGAAATTTTCTAGTAATTCTTTGCCCTATTTTCTAGTATGCCTTTATTTTAGGTAAAATAATGATATTTAAGTAAATTTTCATAATTAAGATTTGTCAATTTGTTTAAATATCCTTTTTAATAATATTCTTTACATTCTCAAAAAATTTCATCGCTTATATTTAATCTCCTTTTTTTTAGCTTATTCTGTCCCCAATTTCATTGCCAATATAAAAAATATTATTTCATCGCCTATTTCATCTTCGATTATAACTATTGTATTGCCGATTATATTGTCTATTAAATTCCCAATTACATCTCCGATTTCATTATTTCATCTACGAATAGGGGTTCATAAAATCTTAAATATTTTCATTTTCCAGAAAATTTAACTGGCGACTTAGTGAAAGTAATATGCCAGTCTTAACCAAACCCAGGCATAATATTGCTAAGAGTTGATACAATTCTAAAGGAAATATAAATTCGCCATTATATGCATAAATTTTATAAAATTCTTCATGTAATTTGGAGAGATTTCACAACAAAACAAATTTGATTTGAAAATTCCTATAGATATAAATAATTAATTCGCTATTTACAAATTAAATTTATGGCTATCCAAATTCTTAGAGATAACTTTCTTGTTATAATTAAATTTTCCACTGTCTTCTCTTGAATTGCTGTAAACCCAATTCATAATTTTCTTTGATAAGGTGATCCACAAGTTTTAGATAAATTTCGCTCTCACTATGACCTAATTCATTAATCCATTTACTTATCTATCTAATTACCTCTACAGCTGCTCCTCTGATGTAAACTTTATAATGAATAAAATTATATTTTGATTTAATGGTCACCTCGGATTAATCTCTAAATTACTATTCTTATAGATTTACTCCTACAATTTCATACTCAAATAAAAGAGATTAAAATATTTTTAAAACCTAAGAATTTTCAATTGAGGTTGGTGGATATGGCATTCTCCATGGCTTAGGATATCAAATCAATTTTCTGCAATTAAAGAAATATATATCTAAAACCAACAAAACCTTATTCTCAAATCTTTCTTTTCAACATTTTTTTAACTCATTTATACATATGACTTTGTTTGTATAACCATTTTAATCTTCCTTTTTGATTTTTCCAACTAAATAAAAAACTCTCTAGTTAATCAATTTAATTATCATTAACATATAAATTATGTGTTTCTTCAATCGTTCTCTTATTCTTTAATTATATAAATTAAACATAAACCTGCTAGTGAGTATTCTTCTAATATACTCCTTCCAATAACACAAATTTTTTACTAAGAACCAAGAATTTTCAGAAAAACCTTCCTATTTGTTTCTTACCCTGTTAATTCTTAAATTCAAAATCTTATGAGGATTTTAATAATGACTAAATTTTTCAGCTTTATCATGTTGCATCTTTACTTGTGTAAATCTCTCTATCATCTAGGCCAATTGATTTCTTCCAAGATTGATGTTAAATTTTAATTAAAAACTACCTTAATAATTTATTTAATAAATACAAAATAGTCATCCGATTGTCTCCTTTCTCTTCTCGCTTTTTTTATTTCTCCTACTTTTAATCAATATTTGAGTCATTAAAAAGTGATCCCCTTTTACACATAATTTGAATTACTATCCTAACTTTACATTACTCAGACTTCTATCAAGTGACCCTAAACTACACTATTCATAATTCCTTCTAAATTTCTATTCATTAATGGAGGTAAATTGGAATTTCTTCTTTAAAATTTTTGTTAACCTAGATGATCATAATACCTAATACTCTCACTGGTGAGGAATTTTCTTATAAAAAGGTTATTAAATCCTACCTATCCCTATTAATTTCTAATCAATCTTTATTTATAATGAATGATACCACTTACTTGTACTTATTTAGGATAAGAGATATCCTTGAGAAACATCCTAATAATAATTTTCCCCTTCACATTCTATTGAGATATTTAAATTTCATCTTATAATATTTATGAGCATTGACAATTCTATTATAACTCTTATTATAGAACTCAGAAAAAGTATTCTTCAATTCAGAACCATCAATTAGTTTAATTCCTTCTTATATTGACATTGCTTGCTGGATATTAGGATTGATTGGATTTTATATTTTCTAACTATTTAAAAAATTTATTTTGTCCACAACAAATTTGAATTAATTATTATTTTTAAAATTGAAAAGATATA